GATCTCTGCCCTTCACCTGCTCAGACTGAAATTCTTTACCACATTATCTAGTAAGAAATGATGCTCAGACTCCTCCAGGCTTTCTGTGCACACAAAATGCAACTGGCAGGGTAAGCCATTTTCCATCTGCCTTTGGCAACAGTCCCAGGTCAAGTGCTACCCACACCAGTATGTGCCAGGGCTGTCTCGTTCCCCTGCTACATGAGTCCCTCCCTCCCTATTCCTTACTTTTCTTCCTGTGGACGTCTGGATCTGAAGAACAAAACAGACCCATCAAATGAAATGCCACTAGCGAGAATGTCCAAAGAGTAGGTTGAGGAAAATTTAGAAACAACATATGCATGAACTATGGATTTTTAAGAAATCAGGAGGCTCTTTCCAGAGAAAAGGTAAAATAAGGAGATGAAAGAAGGAAATGGGGTGGGGTTGGGGGGAAGGGCAAAGCCTGTAAAGATCTAGATCTAAAATGATTCTACTTAATCGTGATAAAATTGTCCAATGGCCTCCACCTTCCACTTTGCCTCTGACTAGTTTTTTCATTTCATGTTTTTCCCCTCTCTGTCCTTTCTTTCTGAAAATTTTCTTACCCTCCTCCTTCTCCTCTATTATTATAATCTGCAGTTTCATCAAAAAATGCCCATTGCTTTTTCAGTGTCTGGGAAGAAATTAAGCACAAATGATACAAAAAAAGCATAAGACGGTTTCTGCTATCATGTAGGTTACAATGGCCATAATGCTCTGATTGGTAAACAATAATGCCAGCAACAGCAAACTGAAATAGTATGTGAAAAATGACAAGGAAAGGTGTTAAAAAGTATCCAAATTCAGTGGAGATGTTTTGTGGCAAGAGTGATGAAAGAGAGTTTTAGAGGGGAAATAGGATTGGCGCAGCGCCTTGGAGGTCTTGAGGAAGTGTAGAGCGGCAGGGTGTTGAAACTACCTGCTGCTTGTTCTATTTTAGTCAATCATAAAAGAAAAAGAAAAAAAGATCCCTGCCCAGCTCCTGCCATGCTCCTAGCTCATCGGTGGACTCAGTTGTTCTGGCAAAAGTTTAGAATAGAAACCAAGGCAACGAAAAGATTTCGGAGGGTTTTTTCCTCTTTGATTTTCTATTTTTAAGCTGTAGGGTGTGAAAAGAAATGGACAGATTAGGATACTACTACAACACTGCAGGTGAAAAGGGATAAAGTTGGGAATTAAAGGGATGTCAATAGAGGTGGGGGGGGGGCGAAGATTTTAGAGATCATTACAAAGTAAAATGATAGGACTTGGGGAGCATTTAAATATATATTTCAGATTTTCTTTCTCCCTCTCTCCCTCTCTTTTTTTCTTTTTTGCAAAAACACAACACAGTAAAACAAGATTAAATTTAGGAAAGGAGGTGGTGGGGTGGTGGTGGTGGTGGGATGAATTGGGAGATTGGGATTGACATATATACACTAATATATATAAAATAGAGAACTACTAAGATCGTGCTGTATAAAAATAAATAAATAAAATAAAATTAGAAAAAGTAAAAAGACATAAGCCCTCGGCACACAGGCTAAAATAATTTTGCTTAGAGACTTTGCCTCAATACTGTTAGAGCTCTAGAATAGCTCTACATCACTGTCTGTTTGACTGAGAAAGTTAGGAATGAAACAATATATCTGGGTTTCATGGTTCAGTTGGAAAATGTTGTGTTAAATAAATATTAAACACAAAAATCTAACAAAAAAAAAGGAAAGGAAGTAGGTTCCACCTTTTGAGGGGTGAGTCTGGACATGGAGAATCAGGATCATCAGTACATAGTAGGTGATGATAAGGAACTCTGAGTTTAGGAAATAAGAATAAAACAGGCCGAAGGGGCTTCCCTGGTGGCGCAATGGTTGAGAGTCCGCCTGCCGATGCAAGGGGACGCGGGTTTGTGCCCCGGTCCGGGAAGATCCTACATGCCACAGAGCGGCTGGGCCCTTGAGCCATGGCCGCTGAGCCTGCACGTCTGGAGCCTGTGCTCCGCAACGGGAGAGGCCACAACAGTGAGAGGCTCGTGTACCGAAAAAAAAAAAAAAAACAGGCCGAAGATTGAGGCCCATAGAACTCCAATATTTAAAAGTAGACAAATGTGGAGAACCAGTAGAGAGATGATAGACAGACAGACCAACATATATACATAAATATATAATGTTTGTGTATTATATAACTCACACATATATATATATATATATATATATAACTCATCTATTTATGTGTGTGTGTATGTATATGCATACAAACAGTGTAGAAATATCTATGTTCTTACAGTACTTAATTGTCACTGGTAGAAGGATACCAAGTAGCCCAGAACAGAGCAAAGACCCAGCTCAAAGCTGAGGGCTCTGACCCTGTGCTCAGTCACGTAGAGAAAGGGAGGAAAAGGAAACCAGACCCCTAACCTCACCTCACCTTCCCTCTAACCAAAGGCATTTCAGAGTCTAGCGATGGTAACAATCCCAGGCAGATTTGTATTAGGAAAATGTTTTCCAAAAACTCAATATATAATCATACTCACCACCCCCAAACTCTACATTGTATTCAGAACTTAATAGGATTGCTGATCAAATTCAATTCATAACTAGTATTGAATACCTGCCATGGGCAAGGCAAGGTACATGTTTGGAACTAAGAGCTCTTTCTTTTTTACTTCGATGGAAAAATGAAAACTTATGTCCAGGAAATGACTCTTAACTGTTATGACTCATAACTCACATAACTCATGTATTCATGGCTGTTATGGTGTGAGGCCGTAGATTCTGGCACTACTTTGTGAGAGCCAGAGATCACTCACTCCTACCTGCATGCTTGAAACCATCACTGTCCCCCAGAACTATTTAAATTTTAAACCAAGTGTTGGTTTCCGGTTAACATGGCAAAGAGGCACAGAGCAAATAGATCAGACATTTATGTAAAACTCAGCCAGCAATGTTACTCTGCTCTGGCAAAGTGTAACTTTGCCCATATTTGTATTTTAGAGATTAAATAACACATCCGAGTGGTGCGACAATTTATCCACTGAAGTCACTCTCCATTTGGCTCTATTTCTTTATGCCTTTAGAGTTCACAATATAAATTTGAGGTCTAATATTTCCTATAAACACTAAACTCAGCTGAACACATTAAAGTAAAACATATAATGCAACTCTTAGGTTGCTAATATAGAAAAATATATCATTTAAAGAATTAATAATTTCCAAAATTATACAGTGAATCCCAAAATCTCTCTGGGGACTTCAAAGTATGATAAACAAGATTTGCACACCTAGATAATTATATCTATATATTTTTTCTAAAACTGAGTATGTTTGCTCTCCATATTCATGTGAGCAGTGGAAGTGAAACTTGGTTTTCAGAATAAATCTATGTATCTATGTATATCGATACATTTATTTAGCGTATAAACTATTCAGCCCAATTGGTTTAAAGGTTGCTAGATCATTTTATACTCTTATTTTGATGATAAATTCAAAGATGTTTCTTATGGTAAAAATCCTTAATAGACTGTGTTGAAATTTTTATGGTGGTTTGCTCTGTGGCCTATAAAATATTTGAGAATTTCTTGATGCTCATTTAGAAACTGTTTCCCAACAGTTCCTGAGTGGGAATTTTTAATGGAATTTACTCTGACTTATGATAATACACATATTATTACCTTATTAAAATTATTATTCTTTATAAGTTGGCTTTTATTATTATAACCAACTTTATAGGAATGGTAACTTGGTAAACATTTTCTGTACTAAGACAAAATGCTGTACCTATATAAAAAATGTTTAATCCGTTTTTGCAGTTAAAGAAAACAGACACAAAAAACACTATCCACGCTGCTTTCTACTGTCCTTGGTTACACAAAATGTAAATTAACAATGTAGCATGCTCAGAAGGTAGCTACTGCCCTGCCCTTTAGAGAAAAGGAGAGCAGTAGAAAGTCAAAAAAAGATTTCAAAGTGAATTACCATCAGCAAGATTTTTAAAAATATTTTTCCTGTTTTCTTTTCTTTTTTTTTTTTTTACTTATTTGGAAATCTACAAAAATACCATTTAAATATCTTTTCAATAGTAAAACATTGCTTTTAGATTCTACACCATAAGGAGTAATATTACGTATCAACCAAAAATGTACTTATGACCCAAACTGAAACCGTTCAAGAAATGTACATTAAATGGACCATAAGTGTACAAAAATCTCAAACGTGAATAGGTACCAGAGGTCCGATTAGTTATAGTTTCCTATAGAATACAGCATTTGCATGATTCTTAGGAGTTCAAGTATTTTTATCTCGTCAAGGCGCTACTATTTACCCATCACCCAGGAAGGGCGGCGGCCCCATAAGAATTTTCAAAGCAAATAATCATTAAAATGACTGTAAGGGACCAAAACCTTGATTTAAAAAACATTCTGTGATAAGAATTTGCAGAAAGTTAATATTTAATTAAATATCCAATTGTATTATTTTAAACTACCATACAACTAAGTATTCAATAAAATATTTCAGTCATAATCAAAATTTGAGGAAGCAAACTACTGGTCCGAAAAGAGGGAGTGGCTTGCATGCAAGCAAAGCCATATTATGATTTTTTAAAATGCATTTTTTGTTGGAAAGACAAAAATTTACTTCTTTTGTCATTAAAATTTCCTTAGACATTCATAAACTTGTGTTTGTATATTTTGAGGGTTAAGCAATAGCTTTTGTAATATCCTTGAACAGTTTGTAAACCAAGATACAGAGAGACAATGTTTGCCTTTTAAATCGTGATTTTTTTTTTGGCCAAACATGTATGCCTTTTTAAACAGAAACAATGTATTCTGTCACATAGCAAGCCATGTCCCTCTGAGGTACAATAACCTTGACTGTTTTACAGTTGGCTTCCTCACCTCCAGTCACCAATGCTTAATTTATTTTTATGTCTATTTCAAACCAATGACCTTCCACACACACACACACACACACACACTAAGGAAATATGAATTTCCTCGTACTTACCTGTAACCAACACTACAGTGTCCAGAAAGGCAAAGCCAAATGCCAAGAGTTTAAGCCACAAATACATGGTCATATCTGGAAATCAGCCGTATTCCTGTGAAATATAGCATGCGTCCTTCTGAAAGGCAAAATAATGGTTATTTCCGCAAAAATGTTTCTCTGTAAGACTGAATCAAAAAGAAAAGAAATGAATGCATACTCTTCACTGGCGTCTTATCGGACAGGGAGCAATTTCCTCCTTTGCTGAGAACAAACCACTTGCTGCTAGGTAGTGATGTCAGATTCGGTTTTACTAACTTCTCCAAAAATGCTGTAAAGCGTCCTCTTTGCAGGAAGTCAAGAAAGTTGTTCCAAGTCACTGCAAAGGCGTCTTACTTCCTTAACCCAAGTGATTAGACTGAGTTAGCAGGCCTTTCAAAAGATGTTCCCTACAAGGAAGATGTGTTTTTAGTATCCAAATAACGCTCCCAAGCAGTATCCATTACAACCAAAAACGAATATAACCCCCCCTGAAAAATCCATAACATTTTTACCTAAAAGATGATGAAACATAGTCAGCATGGCTACAGCAAAATGGGGGTTGGCAAGATGATACACTAATTGAATTAGTAAAAAATACCTGTATGGGTTTTAAAAGGACCAAATGAATGAAAAAACTACTACCTATCTGGTTATTTTCGACAACTAGTATCATTTACCATCAGGGCATTCAAAACCCAGCAATATGACAGTTTTAGCATCTAGCCATTTCCTATGCAAAGCACTCTCAGGGAGCTTCACAGGTTTGCCCCAAAGCTTTCATAGATATCCTTGTGGAGCCAGCCACGGAATTGGACACTCACTTCTACTGCAGCAAGTCCTGTTTCAAAAAAGTAATACTTCTGTGATATTCTTGGTGCTGTTGATGAGGAAAAGATGAGCCATTAAATCAAGAGCTGTCTTTTACAAAAGTTAACCATTTTTTCTCCCTCAGTAATACTCTCTCAACATTTCTGATTAAAAGACAACAAATACACAGTGTTCTTCTTGATTCTGATGGTGTTCTTAGTAAGTCCATTAATTAGGAAAACTCATGCTGGCAGAAAGCCTCTGTGAATTCAGCAATACAGTTAAGTGAATTGGTATCATGGTCACAATCTCTGAATGCATTTAAAAATCCTTGTGCACAGACATACCAGGCATTATTATTTGAACTGCAGATAATGTTGAGGGGACTTTGAGAGAGACAGAGCCCTTGCAGCAAGCTGGTTAGGAAGCAGTATTGCAGGACTTTTGCGTTTAAGTATATACATCTTTTGAAGTTTGCAACCTTGCTTGTTTTATACTTACTTAGGCTGCTAGGAAGTACAGAGCCACATTTGCAGCCAACCTTGGTGCAAATGAAAGTAATCCCACATCTTAATTTCTGCATAGTAACACTATAATGAGATTCTTACTAGGATTCTGATTTTATACGATTATTATTATAGTAGCTAACTTATTGGGCTCTTACCATGTCCAGGAATATGCTTAACCCTTTAATTGCCTAATCCAATTTGTGCAACAACCCTTGAGATAGATAATGAGACAGATAATTCCTCATGTTATCTATGAAGTTCAGAGAGGTTAGGTGATTTGTCCAAGGTCTCACAGCTACAAAGTTAACAAGCTATGTTTTGAAACCATCCCCAAGTTTCATCTTGCTTTCCTTATTTACCTTACTATCTTCTTTCATTTTTCTCACCCCTTTCTCCAATCTTTTTTACTTTGTACTTTTATGATTCCTAATCTCAGAAAGATAGAACTTGATGTCATAAAAATGATCTTGTTCTCCTTTTGCAATAGAGAACAAATAAAACAGCTGGGCGTGTCTGCTCTACTGTTTAGGAGGTAGGTCTAAGGAAATGTATGCGTCAGAGGCCACAGATTTTAGTTCTTGGCTCCCCAGCCTATTTCTTAAAATACATTTGCAATGGAAATCTATTTGGGGGTTAGCTTAGAGTATGTTTAAGTGAATACTTGTGTTCTGTTAGCTTGCTACTATGGCAGGGTATTTGGTAAAACTGGAGGCCAGGAAAAAACTGCGTGACACACCATCTTTTAAAAGGAAGTGAAGTTCAGAAAACATACTTTTGAACAAGCTAAGGAGAGGGGGTCAGACGCCTCAAAGAGACATTTCAAAAGGGCTTGCATATCACAGCTTTGAAGAAATAATAAGAAATTAGGAGATTCAACTTCATTTCAGGCAGGCGGGTAGAGAGATTCTACCCAAGGAATACTGAGATTAACTAACAACAAATGAGTTGGATTATGCGTTTTAAGGTGTTAAAATTGGGTTTAGTGTCAACCAGAAATATTAGACCTTGAGGCAGCAGAATGCTTATGGGATACTCTAAATGTACAAAGAAATAGGGCCTGATGTAGAGACAGCACTGGGTGAATAGGACACAATTCAAGTGCTCTCAGAATGGAGGCAAAGGCACCCAGGAGCTAAAGCAAGAAGGAAGGCCCTCACAGCTTGTCGGGGGACAGAGCACAGCTCCCCTTCGGTGGTGGACAACTGGACATAGAGGTGGGAGCCTGGTAAGCAGCTGGCCTCTCCACAGGGCACCCGAGGAAACCTCTGCTTTATCACATGTAGGCCCAACACAGCCCTAGACAAGCAGTAGCAGCCACAGACTCTCATAAAAAACAGAAGGAGCATTTGTGACACTGGTATGATCCACTGATTCTGAGAAACAGGGACTGGGCAGAAGGCTGATGAATGGCATTTTTAAGAACCACTGGCACTGGGAAAGGACCAGGAAGTGATGTCAGAATTTATATGTAAAAGAGGAAATAGCTGGGCCCTTCCTCAGTGGTTGAAACACTCCAAGACAACCTCAAAGTTTCATCAGTAAATGCCAGAATAATCAGAGCTGATTGACTTATGCTAGATTTTTTAAAGATATAGTATTTTTAAATTTTAAATATTTTCTTTAAATTAATCATTTCCCAGATTTTTTGTTATATAAAGCAAAAGTTACATCAAGATAGAAACTGACGCAAAACAATTATACTCCAATAAAGATGTTCAAAAAAAAAAGATAGAAAGTGATTACATGAGATGAACTGCAGGAGCAGATGGTATCCATTTATTCATCCACAAATATATAGTCACCTCCCAATATAAGACAGTCATTTTTACCACGATGAAGAAAAAATGGTGAGCAAAAAAAAAGACGTGCTCCCTGCCCTGATGGAATATATTTTAGTGGAAGAGACAATAATTAATTAGCACACAGGAAATACTTGATGTTACGATTTAAGTACATAAGAAGGTATTGGGTCTGGTCGTGAGGTCAAGGAAGTTCGCGTGAAATAAAAAGCAATGAAGCTAGACTTGAAAAAAAAAATAGAAGTTAAATGAACATGGGGAGAAAGAAAGAGTATTCCAGGCAGAAATAACTTTATATTTAAAGGAGGAGAGTGTGTTCAAGGAACAGAAAGAGGCATATGAGCCTGCCACAGAGAGAAGCAGAGCCTTATATTTACATATATTATATATATTATATCACAATACACGAATGTATACAGTCATCACGTGGTACACCTTAAACTTATACAATGTTATATATCAATTCTGTCTGAATAAAAAACAAAGTCAGGGGCTTCCCTGGTGGCGCAGTGGTTGAGAGTCCGCCTGCCGATGCAGGGGACACGGGTTCATGCCCCTGTCCGGGAAGATCCCACATGCCGCAGAGCGGCTGGGCCCGTGAGCCATGGCCGCTGAGCCTGCGCATCCGGAGCCTGTGCTCCGCAACGGGGGAGGCCACAGCAGTGAGAGGCCCGCTTACCGCCAAAAAAAAAAAAAAAGTCAGACATGAAAAACAAAAAAAAAGATCTGGCCTCAGAGGGAGGTGATAGTCAAACCCTGCCAGGCCTTGTAGGTTCTAGGACACTGATCTCTTTATCCTTTATCCTGAAAGATACAGGAGGTATTGAGGCATGTGAAGCATTGTTCCCAAGTCTCCTTGCCAATGACACCGGCCTCACCAGATCTGATATCTTCACTCACTTCTCTGTGCTCATCTTATGTGACACAGCAGCACTAAGTACTGTCAGCCCCTTCTCCAACCCTTGCCTTTGGTCAACTTCCAAAACACCATTATCTACTGATTTTCCCTGACCCTCACTGGCTCATCCTCAGTGGCTGCCATGTGGGCCCTTCTTCTATCTGACTGCTAAGTTCTGTGACACATGACAAGCTCAGGTCTGGCCCCGCTTCACTCTTCCTGAGCATCGGAACCTTAACTCTCCTGGCAATCCTCTGTAACCCTCGCCCATGGATCCCCACATATCACTGTCAACTGATGTAAAAAATTCAATACTGATGTGCAAAAGGAAAAAAAAAGATTCTTCCTAGTGACCAAGAAACAGGGTTAAATCCTAATCCTAGCAATGACTGAATCTCTCTAAGGTGGAGCTAGTAATACTACCTTAGTGTGGCTGTGAGAAGTAAATTAATTCAACAAGCTTTCAGTTAATGGTGTCAATACGCTAGGTTACAATTAAAAGCATACACAGTAGAACATACATCCCGCCCTTCCTTCCAGCCCCAACAAACAGAGGAGGAGAGACCCAAAGGAGGGAGGGGGGCGGACCCCGAGGACCTGACCTCACCAGAACATTCTGCACCTCACCCAGGCAACGTCCTGTGGACACAGCAGGAGAGGAGGTGAAAGAGTGACACTGACTGTGCTCAACTCAGCTGAATGAACCTCTTTTTTTTACCCCAGTGTAATTAGGAAGTTGGGGGAACTTCCCTATATACTGTTAAGAGATGGAAAAGGCAAATTCAATATGCTGTTTTCTTTAATTGGCTTAAAGACACTGTGGATGGCAAGACTCATGCTGATTTCAGCAATGTCGAAATGTTTTATAAAATATGTGTCTCAGAATCAATGAAATACATTGAAACAGCTGACCTGTGTCAGGAGAAATATACAATTATTTTAATGAGCTCAGACTGTTTAATAAGCCAGTCATGTATGTAAGAGACTATAAGACGGGCAGTGAGTTCTGATACCAGTTTCCAAATCTGCCTCAATAAGAAAGTCTTGTAGCTTTTCATAAACTAAGAGAATATTCCACTCTGTCTGGGTCATCTGTGGATTCCACTTTGTTTTTGTTCCATAAGGTCTGAACCGAGGTGTGTGTGCTTTACTTCAGTAACATGACTGATGACAAGCCACGTTTAACATTGGTTGGTTCCTTTGCACAGGAGATGAATTAGCCTCCAAATGCTATGATGAGATATAATGTTGGAAACTATGACCGTGTAAAATAGGGACTCTACGTATGGTCCATTGTATATGCCTTAACTATAACCTAACACGTTCACTCC